TCAAAAACCACAATTACCATCTGAGGCTAAATCCTTCACACCAACTATGTAAGGTCTTAAAATAATAGGAAATGAATCCAAATAAGCCATGGACTTTGATCCACATGTTCTATACATGTTTTGTTTTTGCCGAATTGCAGCCTGGCTTGATAGTGTAGGCTGACTTAAAGGAGTAATGGAACTATCCAATTGTTGTAATATATTGTCTTATCCAGATAACACCAACTCAAAATATGATGAGTCTCGACAAGTGGACATATCTGTCTTTGAAGACGGGCGTTTTTTGTCTTAATTTTGATTTGTGGCTCAACTAATGACGTAGAAATCGAACTAGCAATTTCTTTCAATTTTTGTAGGATTTCTGCCTTTACATGATCATTATTATCTTGATAACATGTATGAATCATCTCAAATTATGATGCACAATTAATCTCAAATTTGTTACCTTAGTCAAGAGAAACTAGATCAAATCTCTTCCAACGAGAGTGTACTATTGATAAAGGGATGAGTCGAGATTCTATATTGTATTCAAAAATCTCATGGACTCATGGTAATCCATGCATTTGTTGTAAAACACATCCACAAGTTATCTTGTCAATCCTTATGTCATCAGCTCGCTTGGACACTTGAAGTATCAAATTCATTGCAATTTTTTTATGTAAATCCCCTAGACTCTTTAAACAATGTAGGTTTGAAATTATGTTGGATAATACCCAAGCTCTTTTCAAAGGAAGCTTTAATATCTGTATGTTGTGGCACCAATAATGCATGAATTCTTGTCCATGATGTGTCAAAATTGCTTAGAAAAGACACTAAATGCCTTTTAAGTTTTGCATGTGCAAATTTAGCCCTACCAAATGAATAAAATAAGGTATTGTCATTACATTATGAATTCATATAACTATAAATAAAATCCATGCATCTTTGTCTAACTAAGTTAAATAATAATAAAGGTAAATTTACCTGTTAGTTGTCGTGTTTCCAAAGTGCACATGTAGATTAGTCTAAGGTGCCACAAATTTCTCTTTACATTGAAGAAGCCATGAATTCATGACATAATTGACTACTTGTGGACAATGTTGGGAATTAGATTCCAAGAGATTTAGGTTTTGCTTATACTTGTGGAAAATAAGCCCTGTTTGATTGCACGAAATTTTCCATAGAACTTGAAATTCAAATTCCAACTTCCATGTTTGGCCTGTTTGATTGACAAAATTTTACAAGGAATTGATTTTCCATGAATTTCTAGGTACAACACCTTAAAACGTGATTTTCCACCTTTTATTTTCCTAGGGGTAGGTGATTTTTGATTTTCCACCTTTTTTTTAATTGTTGGCAATGAGAACAAATTTTAGGAACAATTGTAAAAGAAGATATCCCTGAAATTGACAATTTTCATGTAAAACAAAGCCAAACGAACATCAAAATATAGATGATTTTTTTTTATCATTTCCTTTTTTTTTTTTTTGGCTGGCAATGGAAGCAAATTCTAGGAACAATGGTAGAAGTGGATATCCCTTAAATTGACAATTTTTATGTAAAATAAAGTCAAATAAACACCAAAAAACACTTTTACTTCAACATTTTCCACGTGGAAAATTATACCAATCAAACACAATAATTTACAATTCCCAGAAAAACAATTTTTAGATAATTCAATTCCCTTGAATTCATTTTCTTTCCACCCAAATTTCACCTTCGCAATCAAACAGACCCTTAGATTCCAAGAGATTTAGATTTTGCTTGTACTCTGCTATAGATGCCGATGATAGTAGTAATAAATTCCACATATGCACAAAGGCCTCCCATTGGTCTTTGTCTTCAAAATGTTCTTGTTTTTGCCAACACATTCCTTGAAATATGTCATTTACATAACATATTAGTTGACGTTGGAAATATTTTTTCAATGGTCTTCATAAGAGCACTCTTCAATCTCTACAAAGCCCATGCGTAGTTTTCTCACGTCTTTTTTTCAAGTGTGCAGAAGCAATCGAAAAGTCAAATTAGTAAAAGTGACATCTACTATCGCCAACAACAGTAGGTAAACTATTTGTCTTATATGTGCAATTCATAATTATCACACGAGGAAAAGCCAACAACAAATATACTGAATAAGGATATGCCCAGAACAAATCTCTAACTACATTTGTCTCCTTAGAGGTATGGTGCCACTTTATGTACTTATTATCAACAAACCTATTCATTACTTGTTGCATTTGTGTCATTCCAACTTGTTCCTTGAACCTAAACTTCTGATGCGCATTGTAGACGTGCCTCAATGTGCTGACATTAGTGTCATCATTTTGTTTCAATGTGCATAAGATTTCCTTAAGTCTCACGTGATTTTTCAACATGACTATCAAAATTGAAGTCTCTTTCTTAGTTAGTCTTCCGGTTCCTTCAAGGTTTTGTGCAATGTCATGATTACGCCTCCCATACTTTACTTTCAATACCTAATAATCATCATTTATCAATTTTTTCCATTCAAAGCGAACGGACATTCACACTTTTTTGTTCTAGTAGCTTTACATCTCTTCTCCTTTTCATTTTCGTTGTCGGTATTCTTACCCCTATATAAATCATATCTTTCAGATGCGAAATCAATTCTTGATTTTCTCCCAGCTTGACCTAAGTCCATTTTTTTTTTATCACAATAGTCATGTTATGTATCTTACTAGTTGTATTAACCCAATTACCCAAGGGCTTTTTACTTGTAAACATCTGTATATCTTCAAATATTTGTATATAAATATATGATAATATTAAAAATAAGAATATTGTTGCTTACCATATTTGTAGTAAAGATATCTATGTAATTAATAAATAATTCGTTCTAGACATTACAGTTGTGTGTTGATGTATCCTACACGAAAAGCATAGTATCAAAATTACAAGCATGATTACAATCATAAATGTATGCAAATGAGCAACGATATTGATGTATAAGAAAATAGAGCATACATATAGAAATTAACAAGTATAAAAGATGGCTATCAAAAAAAAAAAAAAAAGGATCATATCTGCTGTATTTCACGATTTTTAGAGTTTGGCAAAGTACTTACTATTAACAGCAAAACTGATTTAAGGAGCGGTTGAAGCACAACCCTATTTTCAAAAGAGCTTCCAGAACTTTCAAATCGCCATTCTCTACCTCCAATCTTAGGTTTTTGCGACTTCACTGTAAGCCTTTTAAGGGGTTACTTTTTCTATTAACTAGATTTCATTTTCTTTATTGAGAATTTTAGAGGATTTTTGTGGGGTTTTGTAGGAAAGTTGCACATTTTCAGTTGGATGCCATGAGCTAACTTGAACATAGGTGAAGCTGAAGAAGCCCATGTTAGTGTTGAAGAAGATTAAACTGCAAAACGAAGAAGAGATTGGCGAAAGAGAATTTAATTCTTTGTGGATGAATTGGATGTGACAAAATTTAGCTCAAGACCAGACCGAGATTTGATCTACAGGCTACAGATAATAAAATGTGGTTTATTATAGCGGCATCAGGGACGGACCTAGTCTTTTTGGGTTGTGGGGTCAAAAATCAATGTGTAATTTTTTAAAACAATATGATATTAATGAAAACGAGTTAATACGCATTTTGACACCTTGACAATGTCTTATAATTATATAATTATCAATATTGTTAAATGAATTTTGAAACATGTATAGTTTTGTTTACCATGTCATTTATGGATGTTGAGTTAATAGCGAATAAATCTAATTGGATGTAGAAAGTAAATGAATTGAAATAAAATTCATATTTAATTTATGAAGTAAATGAAATTTAAGTTTAACGATAAAATAATTTGAAAGTAATTCAAATTAAACTTAATCCATAACTATTTTAGAATTTTTGGCGTCATTTTTCATGTAAAATTTTCTAATAAAATGATGTTAATTATATTGAAAATTTTATCGTGCAAAAATAATAAACTTTGATGAAATAATTGAATTTTTTTTAAGAAAAAACGAGTTAAAGGACCTTTTTAGTACGTACGTTTGATGCATATTTAACTATTTTCAATATCTGTTTGGACCATTCGATATGACTATGATGTAATTCTCGAAAAAGCTTCTAGATGACGCAAATGATTTGTGGATTAAGATAATATACGATCATTGACAAATTTTAAAAGTTAGCATATTATCAAATTTTTCGAAATACTAATTTGGAATGACCTATTTTGATACATCGTAACTTTTGCTATAGTTGATCATTTCGCACTTTTCAAGGAGAATTCGTCGAGTCAAGAGCAACAATTTAAGGGGAAAAGATTCAAGAAATCAAGGAGGCAAAAGCAACTTGGTAAAAAAGATTTGATTTGATTTTAGTTCTTTCTATAAAGATTTTCAGTTCCATTTATTTGTGCTATTGATCTAATGCTTCTAATTAATTGACACTAATTGAATGATTAGCTATGAGTCAATTTCGGCACGCCAGAGAGGAAAATTTAGTCGCGATCACAATAATATCACAACCTAGATTTCATAGGTTTTGAGAGAAAATATAATTTCTTTGAAACTTGTTCCACATAAAAACCATGAACTTGTAATTCGAAATAGAGATATTGAAATGGAATTCTAGGAATTGTTTTTACTCGAAACTTAAGAGAATGAATAGAATTAAATTAGAATTCTTACTCCTAAACATGAAAAATTGATTAGAGTAACTAAATATTTAAAAATCATATTTGATAGTTACGTGAAATTATAACCCTAAGCTTTCTCATCTTGATTATTCTTCTAACTCACATTTAATTGTTGAATTGGTCACTTCATTCATCATATTAACTAATTTAAAACCATTTATTCCAAATTTAATTTATCTAGATAAAGTAAGAGCTACACAATTATAGTACTTGGTAGAAATTAAATATCAGTCCCTGTGAATTCGACATCCGTTACAAAATTTGACACCGTACACTTGCGGAATAAATTACGTTACAGAACTGTTGTATTTAGACTTAAGTGAAAATCAATTGAACGGAACATTACCACATGCAATGGTCAATTGTAGGATGCTTGAAGATATTAGAAATAACGAGATAAGTGGCTCATTCCTCCTTTTAGACGGAAACTCCGGAGCCTCGAGTTCTTGTGTTGAATTCCAACAGATTCCATGGTATAATAACTATTTTAAAGGTAAAGCTTCAGTTTCCTAAGCTGTGAATTCTTGACATGTACCATAATGAGTTCATTGGTATTCTCCCAGTTGATGTTTTAGAGAATTTCAAAGCCATGATGAATTTTAGTCAAAATGAATTGGAGCTGAACACGATCTTGTTTTCTTGACTGTTTTGCGGAAGGGGTTAGAGGATAAATTCCTCAATATCCAAAGGCCTATAGAAGCATCGATGATGTATCGAACATCAAATTTCAAGGAGATATTCTAATTTCTATAGGAAAGACCAAGAGCCTACACGCTCTAAACTTAGCTAATAATAGTTTCACAGGTCATATCCCATCATTAGAAAATTTGACTTCCCTGAATCATTGGACCTTGATTCAAATCAATTGGTAGGAGAGATTCCTTGGTAATTGACAAAGTTGACATTTTTGTCATTCCTTAATATTTCACACAATAATCTTGTTGGTCCCATATCTGAGCAAGGATAATTTCTTACGGCGATAAAAGTTTCTATTGGAAACCCAGAATTATATGGATTGTCATTAACAAAGACATAGAAATGTCCCATGTAGAAATGACTTACACCCATCGAAGCTTCCAGTGTTAACCACACAGAAAGATGATGACTTCAACATTTTAGATGGATTCATCTAACGAGTTGTCCTCATGGGGTATGGATGTTGAATGTTTTTTGGATTGGTTGCAAGATATTTTATTTTTGAATATGAAAAAACTGAATGGTTTGTAGAATTTGTATATCGAGTTTACAAAAAGACGGTATAAGGTGGAGGTAGATTGTTCATAGTTATTAGTTGAAAAAGAATTAAACTCAACGTTAAGTCTTGTGCGAATATGCATATTAGCAATATTTATTTACTAGTTCAACAAAAGGAGAAGAAAATAACTATGTTTTGCCACCTTTCAGACATAGCAAAACCTTCATTTTTTTTCTTCGTATTTTTTTCTTTTTACTTCAATTGAATATTGTTATCTAAGAGAACATAAACATATTTTTCTAAGGGTTATGCAACATGTAAATTATGGTGTTTACAAGGTACAAGTGGCATAACATCATTGAAAAGTTGAAAAATAATTTTTCAACTCTCCAATCATGGAATTCCACATATACATTATAGACACCCTTATAGACACCATAATGTACATGTGGGATTATCATTTTTCTAATTCTGCCAAAAATATTTTTGTTTACAGATATGGAATATTGTAATTAATAGTTAACTACTCTTCACCATATTCAAGGGAACCAAGTTATTTGATAGAAGCATCTCATCCTCTCCCTTAGAACTTCCCAAGCCATCTTCCTACTTCCCGCATCTAATTTCCACAAAAACTACAAAATCAGCAACCGAATCTCTCGGTAAATCAAAGTTGGCTGTATGAACAAACAAATCATACATGTAGGGCTGCGTCCATATCCCTTTTTTTATTAAAAATGTTCAGCTGTTAGTCATGCCCACGGTTGCTAGCTTTCGTAGATATACATCATAATATTGTACATTGGGAGTCCAAGAAGTGATTGGACAAGGACACACTCCTCACTAGCCAACATATTTAACTATTTCAAAGCCAACAAAGGTGGCTTTACTTTTTGATGACAATGTTGCTACAAAAAGACGATGATTTCAATACTTAGATGGATTCATCTGGAAAGTTGTTATCATGGATTCGGATGTGGAGTGTTATTTGATTTGGTTGGAGGATATTTGATCTTTAAATATGAAAAACATAAATGGTTCGCTAATTCTTCCAAATATATAGTGAAAATACTACGATGGCATAGAAAATTCAATTTAAAAAATTTGTATATAAGTTTTCTTCAAGCAACTAAAGAAAAGCCTATGCTCAAAAAACCGATTTCTAAAAGCCAAGCACAAAATTAATAAAGTAAAAGAAAATAATCAAGCAGGCATAGTCTTTGAAGCCCTCATATTTGTCGTTAATTCTCTCACATGTTGTCCACTTCTACATCTTGTAAAGTAATTGGTGGTGGAATACAATAAGTGACATGTAGATTCTTGGCCACTAGAAGCAAAAATTCTCTATAAATCCTTCACATATACCCAATTCCGTCGAGGCTCATAATTCTAGCATCTATGGAATTGCTAAATTGTATAACCAATGGTGTGAAATTGATGTAAATATCAAAGATGCGGTCTCAAATTTTCTTCATATTTATGAGTAGAAAATTACTTGAAGAAAATATCCCATTCTCTCTCCTAGAACTAGTCTACTAATGAGACATTATGTATAGTTTAAATCATTCGTTCAACGAAATGTAGGTCAGTGACATGGTTGTATATATTATATAAGTATAAGCTGCAGATTATTCATTGCAATTAAGTATCTTTCTTTTTCATATATCATTAATTTCTGTGTCTTTCTTGATGTTGTTATTGACTTAGTCTTCTATTAAGCCATCTTCAACTACCAACTCCAAGAATTTCAATCCTTTGTATCTTTGTGGAATTAAAGTCCTCACAAGGCATTAATATTCTACCAGAAAAGGACTAAACATTATCAAGACTCTGTATTCTTTCGATTCTTCTAAAACATTGATGTCCTCTTTTGTTTCAGATGTAAATTAATGATGAGTATCGTTAAATTAGCTTTGTGACACTTAATTCTAAACTAATTTCAAATGACTTGAGTATCATAAGATCTTTACTGCGCAAGCCCAATACAACTTAATATACGATATATTTGTAACTTTTGTCTTGAAAGGAATATCTAAAAGTATGATGAGGCAATTCATTTGATACTCTATTTTAACATCACATTTAAATCCAAGAACTATTGATAACAATTTGCATTCCAGTCTTTTGAGTTTTGCTATGTTATTTAAACCAAAGTAATTATAGATGAAATGTACATATTAAACAAAAAAAATGAGGCTTCCTTTTTCTTTTGTTTTCATTGACTTGCTTGCATATTTGTCAAATCATCTTTTCTTCTCTCGTATTTACCACTGTTATAAAAGATTAAATGGGAAATGGTAATGAAACCCAGAACTATAAGCATGGAAACATTTAAAAAAGCCTTTGTTTTCCTACTTCGCATTCTCCTTTTAAGTTCATTTCCATTTGCACTGAACATTGTATCATTTAAGAAAACAGAAGCAGAGGCTCTTATAAGGCAGAAAAATACCTTATCATCTCATGATTCTCTTGATTCATGGGCCTCAGTAATATTACGAATCTGTGTAGTGGAAAGGAGTTGTATGCAACATTGAGGTGTTGCTTTCTGAGATATTCTTACTGGGTGTAGGCCTTAACAGCACGCTTGACCAACTCGATTTTACTTCATTTCCAAATCTCACAAGTCTCAAACTCTGTTATAATGATTTCTATGGGTTGATTCCATATCAAATTAGTGATATTCAAAACCTAACTTGTCTTGATTTGTTGTTTAACTCCTTTACTGGTGAAATTCCATAATCATTATTCACCAATCTAGAAAAGCTTGAATATTGAACCTTACTGGTAACTCATTTCAGGGCTCCTTGCTATCAATTCTTACTAAGCTAACGAAATAGAAAGGTATTGGGTTAGCTTTGAACAACTTCTCTGGTTCAATCCCTGATGTTTTTTGGCTTGATGCCAAATTTGGAAATCCTTGAACTAACTTCATTTGAAGAAAAGATCCCATCTTCTTTAGGTAAACTTAGGAATCTTCAAGTCCTTCATCTCTCAATCGATAGCCCACTCAATTCCACAATTTCTTCTGAGCTTGGCCTCTGCACAAACCTTACCCAATTGATTTTAAGTGGGAGTTACTTATAGGATCCTTGCCTTTATCCTTAACCAATCTGACCAAGTTATCTAGTTTGCTTATTGCTGATACTAATCTTTGCAGTCACATCTCGCCTTATTTTTTCACAAATTGGACCCGGTTAACAGTGTTGTGGATTCATAACAAATCTTTCGCTGGGAAAATACCATCTGAAATTGGTTTGTTGACAAAACTCACTTTTCTTGATATGAGTGGTAATAGATTTTCCAGTTATACCCCTCAAGCGATAGGAAACTTGACAAACTTGTTCATCCTAGACCTTTCAGTCAACTTACTTTCAAGTTAAATACCTCCAACGATCGGGAATCTAACAAACTTGTGTCCTTGGATATTTCATCTAACAATCTCACAAGTATGATTTCACCTGAGGTTGGACATTTGAAGTCACTTGTGACTCTGGATCTAAGTATGAACCAATTAATTGGCCAGTTGCTCAAAAACGTCTCTAAACTTGGTAAAGGATTCAAGTTTTGAATTTGAAGAATAATCATTTTCATGGAACCATTCCTAAAATATTTCCAAAGGGATGTGAACTGTGGCATTTGGACTTAAATGGAAATCAATTGAATGGGACATTACCATACTCATTGATCAATTGTAGGATGCTTGAAGTACTAGATATTGGAAACAATGGCATAAGTGGCCCATTCTCCTTTTGGATGGAAACTCTTCCTAAGCTTCGAGTTCTTGTATTGAAGTCCAACAAATTCCATAGTATAATACCTATTTCAAAGGTAAAGCTTTCATTTTCGAAGCTGCGAATTCTTGACATGTCCTATAATGAGTTCACTGGTGCTCTCCAGTTGAATTTTTAGATAATTTCATTGCCATGATGAATGTGAGTGAAAATGAAACTAAAACTAGATACTCCGATGTTCTTTCAATTGTTTTACTAAAGGGGATCGAGTATGGATTGAGGAGTATCCGAAGAGCCTATACAAGCATCGATCTTTCAAACAACGAATTTCAAGGAGATATTCCAAGTTTTGTAGAAAAGCTCAAGGCCTTACATGCTCTAAACTTAGTTAATAATAGTTTCACAGGTCATATCCCATCATTGGAAAATTTTACTTCACTTGAGTCATTAGACCTTCATTCAAATCAATTGGTAGGGCAGATTTCCTGGCAATTAACAAAGTTGACATATCTGTCATTCCTTAAGCTTTCATACAATCATCTTCTTGGTCACACACCTTAGCAAGGGCAACTTCTTACATTTCCTAACAGTTCATATATTGGCAACCCTGAATTATGTGGATTGCCATTGACAACTATATGTGAAAATTATAAACCACAATCGAAGCTTCTAGTGCCGACGACACAGATAGATGATGATTTCATTATATCAAACGGATTCACCTGGCAAGTTGTCCTTACGGGGTATGGATATGGAATATTATTTGGATAGGTTGCAGGATATTTAATACTCAAATATGAAAAACCTAAATGGTTTATAGAATTTGTCTATCAAGTTTACAAATTTAAAAGACGGCAAAAGGTGGAGTTAGATTGGTCGTAGTCATTAGTCGAAAAAGAAATAAGTTCAATGCTAAGTGTTCCTAGAATATGCATATTAGCATTTATTTACTAGTGCAATAAAAGGAGAAGAAAATATTTGTATTGTTATCGTCCGGACATTGCAAAGCCGTCCTTTCCTTCTTCGTAGTCTTTTCTTTTTTACTTTAATTGAACATTGTCATCTAAGAAAATATAAGCAAATTTTCCTAATTCTCCCCAAATTATTTTTGTTTATAGATCTGATATAATATAGAAATATTGCAATTCATAGTCAATTTTTTACCCGCCATATTCAAGGGAGCCAATTTATTTGAAGGAAACATTTCATCCTCTCTTTTAGAAGTTCCCTAGCCATCTTGCTCATTTCCTCAGTTGATCCCTCCCAAAACTGAACCAGAAACCTAATCTACTGGCAAATCAAAGTTGGTAGTGTGAACAAACAAATAATATATGTTTGCTTCCAAAACATCCTTGCTCAAAATTTCCCAGCACCCAGCTGAAAAAATAGATTCCGGCGCCACCCATTGACTCTCTTCCATCCACTTCATTGTGAAAATATTCAACCGTTATTCATGCCCACAATTGCTAGTATCCTCAGATATACATGATAAAAATGTACACTATGGAGTTCAAGAAGCAGTTGTGCAAAGTCCCACTATTCACCATACACATTCGGACTAGACGTAATCAATGATTTTTGTGACCCGAGGCCAACTCATAAAGTGATAATAGATGAAGTAATGCCAGAAACTGTATAAATTTTGCATCAGCCACATTACAACTTAGGAACCTGATAAGTGGTTTAACTTATACTATATGCCACTTTCAAGTTAAAACCAATATGCCACGCGAATTTCATACCTCAACTGCACATTAAGCTGCTTTTGCACTTCAATTTGCATTCTTAATGCTTTAGCGATCTCAATGCCCCTATTTGAAAAACAGAGATGTGCACAATCTACAATAGAACATAGAGGATATAGAAAATTTAAAGGAACCTGAGATCAGTTATAATTGTATCCATCATTGCAACTTTTCTAAGATATATTAAATTTTCAAAATTTGACAATTTCCACATTCACGTTGAAACCAAAATATATTTCCCAGTTCCAGATAGTCCACACATAGAAGTCACTCATTAATCTTCCAATTGCCGACATATTTGTGAATATTATGTAAATTTATCACAGCAGAGACCCATAGTTTGCTATATTTTATCAAAATGTCTAATTATGTTTCATAGTCATAGTCTCATAGATCATCACCATCTTCCTTCAATTTCATTTAGAAATTGATGTCTTATAATCCTGTTGTTAGGTTTCGATACCCAATAAATTCTGAACAATGATATAAAACGTCGAATTATATTTTCACATGCCTGGCCAACGGTGAATTGATACCAACAACCAAGTCTAAAAGCTCGATCTGAAAACAATGTGGACCATTGGAAGTAGTTTAATAAATTAATACTACTCATGGCCCATATATATTTACCCATTGGGGAGCTTCTCTCTCTTGGTTCAAATAAAGCTTAACCTATTCCTATATATGTGTTGCTTACCCTAATTTTTTTAAGGCATGCTTGGTAGTGATTATGAGAATTGATTTTTTGATGGTTAGACAGAAAAGTAGGTCCCACCTATGAGTGAAGAAGTAAAAAATGACGACTGTTTTTGGGGACTTAGTGTGTAATTTGTGTATAAAGAGTGAAAAATGTAGCTGCCTACTATTGGAGAAAAACGTGTACAATTGAAGAGTGAAAACCGGTGACTTCTCCTTCGTTTTAGTCACCTATTTGTGCCTTATTCATATTCTTTATCTCATGCCTTCACGGCTTGCAACTCAACCCTAGTATCTTGTCCTTTGTGAGTGAGATTGAGAAGCAACCAAGGCAAATATATTGGCTATGAGTTGAAGACGTTTGGATTGATTGTTTGGTAGCAAAAGGAAACTTGACATTGAACCCGAAAAACACTATTTAAAAAATATTTGAACGAGCTTCCGTAACACCTGCACTCTTGACAAAATTTAATAGAAATTAATATCTTCAAATCATCCATGTTATTCTACAAGAATAACTGGGACAAGAACAAAATTGAGCAAAGGTATAGTGTAGTTGTCCAATTGTTTAGTCACTGGCGGCACAAGGTAATGCCAATAATCACACAATAGAAAGAAGAAACAAGGCACATCTCTATTCACAAAATTAAAAGAAGCTGGGTGTAGAAAAGGAGTTTCATCATCCTACATACACGTGAAAACACATAAAATTAGAAGAGGGGACATTAACGGGAACATATATATATGTAAGGATTTTTAATTAATAGATGGACTTATATGTGTGAATAATTGTGTGTTAAATTATAGGCTATCAAATTTGTTTAAGCCCAGTTAAAAGTGATCTAATAAGGATTTGATTTTTGGCATTTAATGTATCCAATGAAAGTGTGGATTTACATGTGTCGAGACCGGGCCCAATATACCTAATTTCATGATGGGCCGAATTAGGTCAAAGGGTATCGCTATATAAATACGATTATGGTCCTCAAATCACACGTATCTTTTGCTCGTTCTATTCTGTTTCCCATGGCCAGAGAGAATTACAGGTTGCGTGTAGATTTAGAAAACTATATCGCAAGATTCAATTATTGCAAATAACCTATCTGATTCAGGTATGCTTTCGCTATGATTTTTGTATTTCTTGATGATTTAACATAAAGATCCGGTGATTTAAAGGTAACAAATTTTCCTACAAGTGGTATCAGAGTCTTTTCATGTTGAATAATTGAGAATCAAAGCTTTAAAATTTGGTTCTTGCAATAATCTTTTAAGTTTTCAGATTTGACAATTTTGAATTTAGTTTTGTTGAATTTGAAAACTATTCGGTATGTTATTCTTGTTTATCTTTCATAATTTGGATTAAAAATAATTGAGGTTTGAGAAATTTCGGGTTATGGATTTTTTTTTTTAAAGAATTACAAATTTTTAGGATTACAAAAAAAAGGTTATTTTGAATCTGGCTGTGCTGTGCGTTGCTTGTAGCAAGCAGCGCACTGCAACGCACTGCAGCGTACACCGGCGCTACTGTTGGTAGCTTCTAGCGGCACTGGCATAGGCCAACGCTGCTGTTCTTGGCAGTGCTAGTCGTCGGCGCCGCGAAGGAAGAGGAAAGAAAAATTTAGGGTTTGCAGTTTTTGGTTGATTTTGGGGATGGGGGCCTTGTGTGTAAATTAGATAATTTGAGGCCCCTGCTTGCAAGTTAGGGTTATAAAATTAAAGTTTCAGTCCCTAATATTTAAGGTATATTCAAGTTTGGGTCTCTAAGTTTTGGGTTTAATAATTTTGTCCCTAAGATTTAAAAATTAATTAATATGGGCCATTAAAGTTCTGAATTTTATAATTAAAGCCCTCAAACTTTAATTGTTAATTCAAATTGGCCCCAAAGTTTATAATTAATTCAAATTGACCCCCAAAGTTTCAAATTTTCAAAATTTGATCCCTAAAGTTTTGAATTAGTAAATTTTTGACCCCTAAAGTTTTAATTTTGTTCTAATTGATCCTCTAATGTCTTGAATTAATAAATTTTGGTCCCTAAAGTTTCAAATTTATTAATTTCAACCCCTAAAGTTTGGAAATAATCAATTTCGCCCCCATAAAGTTTTGAATTATTAATCTTAAGGCCCCTAAAGTTTAAAACTAAACAAAATATGCAAAATTGGTGGCCCTCTTTCTCAAATTTTGGTACTAAGGACTCTTTTAAGAGATATAATGCTCGAAAGTTAGTTAATTGAAGCAACATGTTGTCAAAGAAACCTCTCTTGTGGAAATTAATTAACTTAGAACATTAAAAGGTATTTGTGCATGTGTTATTCATGGGAATATTGATCGGCCCAAAGGAAGGTCAATATTTAGCCAAATACACATGCACCTGTGGTGATAAATATGTGACGATTATTAGGTTTAATGTGTGATCAATAAATCGGTCCAAAAAAAGGTTTATTGATTTACACATTATTTTATTGTCAATGTTTTATCACTATGCCAAGAGTACTGCCTACAAATCAATATCTCTATCCAAAGACTAGATGTTAATGTTGTGCTAGGTATCTTGTGATGGGCCCTACCACTATTTGAGATTATTATTATTTGCATATTAAAGATATTCATATGAGCTATTCATAATAATCATTCTCTAATTCAGTTTCAGGTTCTGCTGCTAATATCTCTGCTAGCATCAATCCAATTCCAATGCTTAATGGCACAAATTTTAGGGCATGGCAAGAGAACATGATGATTGTTTTCGGAGTCATGGACCTGGACCTTGCTTTACGGGTCGATCAACCTACTGCATTTACTGATAAGAGTACCTCTGATGACAAGAGGGAGATGAGAAAGTGGGAATGATCGAACCGTATAAGCTTAATGGTCATGAAGCATGCTATTCCAGAAGCATTCTGAGCACTATGTCCTATAAGGTGACTACGGCTAAGGATTTCCTTGAGGATCTTGAGAAGAGATTTGTCAAAAATGAAAAGGCTAAAACAAGTACACTTTTGGCAAATCTTGTCTCAACGAGGTATAAAGGAAAAGGAAAGATTCGGGAGTACATTATAGAAATGTCTCATATTACTTCAAAACTAAAGGCACTCAAGTTGAATTTATCTGAAGACTTGTTAGTGCACTTGGTTCTGATATCCCTTTCGGCACATTTTAGTCAATTCAAGGTGATCTACAAATGTTAAAAGGACTCATGGTCCCTTAATGAGCTCATCTTGCACTATGTCCAGGAAGAGGAAAGATTGAAACATGAGAAGGTAGAAAGTGCTTATTTAACCACCACATCTAAGGACAAAAGGAACAAGAAAAGGAAGATACAGCACCACAAAAGAA